AATTTATCAGAAAATATGGCACATCCGGATAATAAATCATTTTTTACGGAAATTTTATTATAAATGATACTTACATCTTCTTTGTGTATGCGTTAATTAACTCACAATAAATAAAACAATAATTTTAAATTTATGCATTATTCATTGTGCTCTCTGTAATTTAAAATCAGCCATTACTTTCTAAAGTCCGATTTAATTGTATCGTATATATATTGCTAATATTATATCTTCTTGTAAGTGTCATCGGATATTGTGTTTCGTATATTTCCACAAAAGCTAAATAAAAATCCCGAATTTTGCCCTGAACGACGCGTAAACTCTAAATTAGATTTGTTAAAGATTTCCATTGCGTCATCATCTCGATTAGAAAGCCGTGATTTCATTTCAAAGCTTTTATTGCATTTTTATCACGTTTTCTCGCACCGAGGGGAACATTTCTAGCGTCTCTTTTTATAAAATTATTTTATTTATTTATTATCGCAGAAGAAATGTCTCGGATTATATGAATCTGAAATCGATATTTCTATTCAACGACAAATTATATATATCGGCGTATATCCCTATTAAACTTTAAACATTCCCGAACTCGGTCAGTAGTTACTATTCCCGAATAGCGTTTACATGCTAATATGCGCTTCCGAGCAATCGATCGACGCACAGCTTCCTCAGCAGTTGCGGCGTCGCCGAAGCACATCCGCAACGACAAGTTAAATTAATAAGCCTCGCACACAGTCGGAGAGAGCTCGGGCATTATTCAGTCGAACGGCGAGGAGACGTCATAACGCGATCGTAGGATCTCCTCCCTCGTCTCTCGTTAGCGGTACAGTTAACAGCGCGCAAACGAGGCAAACCACAATTTCGAAGCGTTACGATTTCCCTCTTCGAATCGAGCGGGCAAAAGGGCTGACGAGGAAATAGCTTGCACATAGCAAGCGCGAGTCCTTTTAGAGACTCGCTGCCGCAGGATAATCAGCCTAGGAGAGTGCTCGTCTATTCATTATTCGTGCAAACACATCTATTAGCGCACCTTTTCTGCACTGATGGATTCTGTGACACTATAAACAGCGTTTAATTTGACTAAAAATATATAACGGAAATAAACGGAAATTTCATATAATTCTAACCGAGCTCAAGAATAATTTTTTATTTTAAAATAAACATATTAAATCTATAAGAGGGAAGTTGTAATCGAAAAGTTTGCGCAATTCTGATTAAAAATTTTTACTGGAAAATTTAATTATAACCACATGAATTTCATACATTTGTTTTAAATATTTTATTATTATACTATTTATAAAAAGTCCTCTCCTCTCTCTGAATCTTACAAATATACAATTTCATGGATTTAATAAAAAAACATGAAAACTTTTCGATAAAGAACGCATCTGGAAAATAAAATCTGAAACGGAAAATATTTTCTCATGAAACAAAAAGACATAACTCTTCAAATATTACAAAATTAAAATTTCATTTTCAGATAGCAAATACTAATATATATAATCATAGCATTCAGAGATCTTGGTGATTATTATAACATCACTTTAATTTCGATTATATATAAGAAGATTTTAAGAATCATAAGGAAATATCTTTATACAATTTTACTATTATATTATTTGTGGAAATCGCAGACAATTTAAATAATAAAATAAATATTAGTCAGATTGCTACTATTCTACTTAAATTTCAAACTATCAATGATAATCAGTTAGCAAATAAATGTATAAATGTACTATTACATAAAGCTGTATAAATCATGGCATTCATAGATCGTCTTCTGGATAAAACTATTATCGTTTTCAAACATTATATTATGATACAGTGAAAAAATGAAATGTAATAAATAAAAATTACTTGTAGTCTTTGATGATTGATTATAAATCCCATGAGTTTAGCAAATCTCTGAAACATAAATAAAAAATTCTGTGTTTGTTAATAAAGAATATTATCTATAAATATTGTTGAATTTCATAAAGTCAGAAGTAGCAAATTGTAAAATCATGGCATTCAGAGATCTTGGTGATAATTATAACATCATTTTATCTTAATTTTCATATGTAGCAAATGATATGGAAAAATAAAAATTATTAAAATATCTTTATATAATTTTAAAATGCCATTTCACTTGGAAATCGTGTACAGGCACAAGTTAAACAATAAGTCAAATATATTAATTAAGAATGCTATTTTTCTACCTAAATTTCAAATTGATATCAATAATCAGTTAGCAAATACTATACAAATCATGGCACTCATAGACCTTGATGGATAAAATTCTATCATCATTTTCAAACATTATTATATGGTTAAAAAAAATTAAATCTAATAAATAAAAATTACCTGTAGTCTATGACGATTGATCATAAATTCCATGAGTTTAGCAAATCTCTGAAACATAAATAAAAAATTCTGTTTTTGTTAATGAATATTATTTATAAATGTTAAGATGAATTTTATAAAGTCAGAAGTAGCAAATTGTAAAATCATGGCATTCAGAGATCTTGGTGATAATTATAACATCATTTTACTTTAATTTTCATGTATAGAAAATGATATAGAAAAATTAAAAATATTAAAATACCTTTATACAATTTTAAAATGTCATTTCACTTGGAAATCACGAACAAGCACAACCTAAACAATAAAACAAATATATTAGTTAAGAATGCTACTTTTCTATCTAAAATTCAAATTGATGTCAAAATTAGTCAGTTAGCAAATACTATATAAATCATGGCACTCATAGATCTTGGTGGATCATATTATTTATAAATATTGTTGAATTTCATAAAGTCAGAAGTAGCAAATTGTAAAATCATGGCATTCAGAGATCTTGGTGATAATTATAACATCATTTTATCTTAATTTTTATATGTAGAAAATATGGAAAAATAAAAATAATTAAAATACCTTTATATAATTTTAAAATGCCATTTCACTTGGAAATCATGTACAAGCACAACCTAAACAATAAACCAAATATATTAGTTAAGAATGCTATTTTTCTACCTAAATTTCAAATTGATATCAATAATCAGTTAGCAAATACTATACAAATCATGGCACTCATAGACCTTGATGGATAAAATTCTATCATCATTTTCAAACATTATTATATGGTTAAAAAAAATGAAATCTAATAAATAAAAATTACCTGTAGTCTTTGACGATTGATCATAAATTCCATGAGTTTAGCAAATCTCTGAAACATAAATAAAAAATTCTGTTTTTGTTAATGAATATTATTTATAAATGTTAAGATGAATTTTATAAAGTCAGAAGTAGCAAATTGTAAAATCATGGCATTCAGAGATCTTGGTGATAATTATAACATCATTTTACTTTAATTTTCATGTATAGAAAATGATATAGAAAAATTAAAAATATTAAAATACCTTTATACAATTTTAAAATGTCATTTCACTTGGAAATCACGAACAAGCACAACCTAAACAATAAAACAAATATATTAGTTAAGAATGCTACTTTTCTATCTAAAATTCAAATTGATATATCAAATAATAGATCAATTAATTAATAAAAATAAAAGTTACCTAATAATTACTTCTCTTGTAGGCTAATTACAATTACCAGGAATATGTTTTTCTTAACCCCAGAGTTCTTATCTAAAAATTAAAAAAAAAATTAAACTTTATATAAAAGATATATAAATGTGTCATAATAAATGATAATAAAAATATCATATAAAAAAAAATCATAATTTAGTATTTTCTCCATTACACAAAATATATATAAAATCTCACCTATATATACAATATTGTAATTATATGACCAAAATATATATTGTGGAAATATTGATCAAAAAATAACACCAGACATATTTGCAAAGTAAAGGTGCGCAAGGCAATTCATCCAAGCAAATAATATAATATATCAAAACAAGTAATTTCAAAAAGCTAGAGCACATTTACTTCACAGAAAATATGTCGTTCATAATAAATTATGTTAAAACATATATTCGATAAAGTATACAAATTAATCGGCCTTCTTAGTAGTACGTGTCTTTTTAGCAGGAAGGGGTTTCTGAGATTGTAGCACAGCGCTAGCTCGTCGCAGTGCAGCCTACAAAACATCGTATTGATAATATTAATAGTAAAATAGTATTACTTTAATAAAAGATAATTAATTCACATACCTTGGTAAGATCTACACAATACTTGTTTTTCGTTAACAGTGTCTTTAATTTATAAAGGGAACGACGAGCTCCCGCTTTCATTGTACTTCTGACAGTAGCCTTAGCAGGTTTGTTGACTGCCTTGGCTTTCTTGTAAACGACTGTGAATCCTTTTTTGTCAGGAGTATCTACAATTCCCACACTCTTACGATGAATCAAACCAGAGTAGCGATAGCTGCTCTGATTCGTCAAGTTGTTGGATTCCTAAACATTAATTAATCTAAATAATAACTTTGTTAACAGATTATTTTTGAAAATTGAAATTAATAATGCTTCTACAACTAATAATGTTTGTAATACTTTGCGTACTAGTTACGAACCGTGGAAAACGGCTTCTTGATGTTACGCTTCTTAAGAAGGAAGGCATTGTTGTCGCGGATTATCATCCAATTCAAATGCGAAGACATTTTGAACTTCCTGTAACAATCACGATTATTACGTGCATTTTTTAATTATAATTAGAGACATATTCTTATTCTCTTTATTAGAATTAGTTATAATTAAACATAAAGTTTGCTGATGGATTGCATGTATGCACTAACTGTAAAAAAATACTTTCTTATAAATATAACCGTATTGCGAGAATGTCTGATAATTTAGAACGTATCACAATTGCAGAATAAATATTCCGATGCAGCAGATTATTAAGAGAGATGAAATAAGAAGACGAAATTATACGAACCACGTGCGCCAACAAGAGGAAACGATCAGAAAGAAATTTTCAAGATGGCAGATGGCACAGAAAGAAGAGTCACCGATTATCTTATATATAGGAAGAACTTTTCGCTCAAAACTTTTCTTCGATTCTAACGCCACCTGGCGCTCGTGATGCAGAACTTATGTCTCTAACAACGCAAATTTTAAAAAGATACAATTTATTCTTTATATCTTACAATTCCTACAAACATAATAATATATAATAATCATTTTTGTAATATATTTTTTTTGTAAAATATATCTTACAAATATATTTTATTTAATGTCAAGGTAATCACAAGTTTGTGATGACGCTTTTTAATTCTTGGACAATGGACCCAGAGGGTTAAACTGACGTTTCATTATCAAACGGTAACTCAGAAAAGATGCTCGCTAAATCGCTTTTATCGTATTCATCTAATTTTCCTTGTTTTCCTTCGGGACAAACGGTCTGAAAGTCCTGCGGGATAAAAATCTCTGTCTCCGATATATATCTCTTATCGTCCTCGGAAAAACGTTGCAACTCGCACCATCGCGTGGCCACGTTCTTGCACGCGCATTTTCTGAACGCCAGACAATGAATGTGACGTAGCTTCTCGTACTTGATCCTCATGAATCCTAATCTGCTCAGCGTGTATCTCCAAGACTTCATCAGCCTTGCGTTCGCGCCGACATGCTTCGAATCCGGACTCACGATGATCAGCAGGCCGCCAATTTTCAACACGTCGTACGCATTCCT